GTTCCCAAATAATAGTAAGCTTCAAGAGTTTTGATCTGATTTTCTCTTGACTTGGCATGAGTAGAAAGTTTTTCCAAAATATTGTTAAGTTTTTTCTTCCAAGTTGTTTCTTTAAAAGGTGAGATTCAAGAGGCTTTCTGAGGTTCAAGAGGTTGCATAAGGTCTTCTTTTATTTTTGTAAGAGAATTTGGTTCATCTGATTCTTCTTCTATAATAAAAATTAAATTATTAATTGGTTCATCCAAACTTTCAATAAGTTGATCGATTTCATTTAAAGCTGTTTCTTCAAGCTGTGATGAAATATCGATAACTTGGTTCAGTATTTGGTCATCCCATAGTATTACATTTTGGGAGAAGATTTCTAAATTGTATTAAGCAGCAGGGTCTTGCCTTCAAATGGAAATAAAATTTTGTAGGGCCTGAATAGTGTTTGGTTGCAGAATAATAGTATTTATTTTTAAATAGCCAAATTGTTAATTTAGGGAAATTTGCACGATTAGGTTGTCTATATATATATTTTAAAGTAATACGAGATTTTTAAAATGTTTTTCATTGTGTCACTTTCTTTCAAATTAAATTTCTTCTAGAAATTTACTAAGTTTCAACAACAACTATTGGTTCCCAAGTCTGTTTCTCATAATATTTTGCTAATCAATTACTATTGTAATAGTTTTATAAGATTTTTTCTTTTTTATTTTGTAACTTATAAGTACCATTTTCTAATTTCTTATAAATTATGAATGGTCCTAGTCATTTATTTTCAAATTTTGCTAATCTTGACATTTCTAGTTCCTTTCGTTAGATCCATACTTTGTCACCTACTTCGAATTCTTGTATTTTAACTTTTGTATCAAAGTATTATTTTTGTTTCTGTTATGACTTATCAGTATTGTTTCTTGTATTCTCTTACCATTAGGGCAATTTGTCTATTAGCTCATAAGCTCTATGCAAAATACTGTCTTGTAAGTTAATATCTTTGCTACTTTCTAATAGTAGTTTAACAGATATTAAAGCTTCAATCAGCAGTATAGCTTGTTGACCATAAATAAGTTGAAATAGAGTATATCCAGTAATAGCATGTTTCTTTGTTCAGTATGCTAATAATATAGCAGGAATATGAATGTCCCAATCATCTGTTTCTTTTACTTTAGCAAGTGATTCACAGAGTGTTTGGTTAAATCTTTCAACCATGCCAT